CAATGTGTGCAGATAAAATGCTAATGAGAGAATAATCATGTGCAGTGTGAAGACTACATGTGATTTCGTTTCCCCAGAAGGCTCCTCAAAACAACACTGCTGACACAGCCACTGATGCTTAACAAAGTTGCCGCTAACACAACTGTGAAAATTTATAGGCTGAATATTATTAAATCCCAATAAAGAAACAAAAAAAATTTAAATGACTTCTGTGCTCATTATATCGTGTAAAATACACTCTGCAGGGACACACAACTCCACAAAAGTTAGAAGATCTTTAAAGTTGATGATTCTATAATTTTATCACTATAATCAGCCACTCTTACATTAAGGATCCAGCTTTAAGGTGATGCGGTTTGTAGGAATAAATGGCAGAAATAATTGTGAGTTTAGGTCGTTCAGTTCTCCTTGGAAAAATCCAGCCCACATCACAGACAGGCACAAAAACACCTTCGGGAACTGTGAGGGAAATTTAAGTTAACACAGCAACTAAATGGAGATATCTGGGGGCCAGCAGAGGTAAGTAGTTTGAATCCTAGCTCAAATGTTTTTTAATTATCTAAAAATGTCAACTTCAAATGTGTGGATTTTTGAAAGCCTCAGCCTGTGGATCAATGTGGGATACAATCTGAATACCAGCAGTTTAGAGATGAAGGAATAGTCTCCATCATGGGGGGTTAAGTAATAGTCTACTGTCAGGTCTGTGATAGAGTTATACCCATATACTTTTAACCAAGTTAACTGTATTAGAATTACAACTATTTCATGTAGAGTCCCTCATTTTGATGAGGTCAAATAAATATATTAAAAAATTAAAAGTTCACTTTCAACATTTTGCCAATTTTCTTTGCAGGTAAAGACTCAAGTGGATGTCACCAGACACTGTTAGCTTCTAAGCGACACTTTGCCGGGTCTTTACTGTAGCTACCTTCAGTTTAGTCTTCAGTTTAGCAAGCAATAGGAAAATTCAGCTTCAAAGACTTCAAAAACTCCGTACTTCATGTTGCAGTGTGTTTTGAGTCACTGTCAGATTGTACTGTGTACTGTCACTGAATTCAGTGAAGGACTTTTCATTTACCACAGAAAGGATTCTGCAGTTTCTGCAGTCATCCATTATCACTGTCTTCCTTGGGCATCCAGGCAGATTTATGATCGACTTTTTTCTCCCTCAGAGTGTACCAGAGCTGTTATTGCTAATGTTCCTGTCATTTTTCATATCAGTGTGTTTTTTTGTGTATGATTTCTTTTTTTTTTTTCTTTTTTTTTGGGGGGGTTAAAAGACAGATAGGTAGATGAAAAATGCATGAATACATAAGAAGATACAAGCACAGAGACTTACATAAATATATTCTAAATATAAAATACAGAAGTATAAATGTAGCATGTTGTCTTCATTTTTACTGTATTGCTGTAATGAAAAGTACTTTTCCTGTAATAAACCAGGAAGTAACTCACAGTGGCATAATAAACTGATGGTCACACAAACGCACCCCCATGACACAAACGTATGCACACACACACACACACACACACACACACACACACACACACACAGCAGTTTGGCTAGCAGTAACAATGTCACAATGCTGTGTCATTGTGGGTACCCATGTTTCTCATGTTGGGCACTTTAAGAATACGGCTTCATCTGATAGGAACACCATCATTTTTGTAGGTGTTTGGATGCAAAGAATAGAAAATGTATGTGAATTAAACAAAGTACATCAATATCCGTGCTCTATACTTGCTTCATTTTCTGCTATCGTGATTTTGTGCATCAAATCTTCTCATCCTTTGTGGATCTTAAATGTTGACACATTACTTTCTCTCTGACATGCCCACAGTGTTGATTCTGGCTGTTTTTCTCTCTGTCTGCCCTTTTCTTTATATTGTGTGTGTGTGTGGGTGGAGTATGGGGGGGTTGGCACTTTTTTCTGCATTGTTGCCCAACAGCAGATGGTGTCTCCATGTGCTTCCTCTCCTCTCGTCTTCCATTTCCTCCCAGCATGTACTGCAACACACCGCTGCGTCTTTAAAGAGATATTTCACAATGTTCTCCACTCTCATCATCAAGGGGTGATTACAAGTTCAGACACCGCTGGAGACTGACAATCACCAAAACTCACTTATTTTCACAACAGTAAGTCTAAAAGGCCAGATCTGCAACACACAGCAGCAGATTTGTTTTGCTCTCGCCCGTCTGCAGATATCAGTACTGAGGCTGAAAGATGAATGCTCCTGGTCCTAGCTGCATTCACTAAAACCACCGGTGGACAAATGAACCTCATGAAACCATTTTCAGCTTCCTGACAACACACAGCTGTCTATCAATCAATCCCAGTCAGAGGCTGTTTTCATTCTGAGGTGTGCCATATTACATCAAATACAGTATCATAGTCTTTAATACTGCAGCACCCATGTGATGGCAGGTTGGATGTTAGATAAAGATCTCCTGAGGTGAGTAATCTAAATGATGATAAATCTAAGTTCTTATTCAACCAAATGCTCATACAGTATTTACAGACTGTCTAAAACATCCCATCTTCACTCAATCACTTTTCCCCTCATTACAAGTCAACGTTGCCACCATTAGCAATCTGACTGTGGTTCTTTTCCCATAAGAACTGGTCAAATCTGCAAAAGGTTCTCACCTGACCCCACTCAAACTTTATTAAAATATGAAAATATGCAGGAGGATCTTGTGCAGATCTGGGAATGAGAGCTGGGTTGAAATGTTGGGCATTTGGACAAACAGAGTAACTGTGCAAATTCTAAGTGGTAAAAGAAAAAGAGTGGGGAGGAGAGCGAGAGCAGTCAAAATGAAACAACCCTGGACAGGCATTCACTCAATGCAGAGAGCTCCCCAAGATGGTACAAAAGCAGTGTTCAGCTGGCATTATTTCATCTATTCATCTGGGAAGTTATATTTGCACCTTCAGTATCTCTTTATAAATGGCAAACTGTGATTGGGGAAAACTTGCTGCTGTTGGAGATCTTCGTGCATGTTCAGGTTCTCCGATGTGCAACAGTGGTGCAGTGTGATGGACCCTGTTGTGGTCAAGCAAGAGCTTCAGCATGAAAGCCTATTGTTACTGATCGACTGACAAGCTTGCAGAAACAAGTGTTGATAATGGGATTCCTCTGAATGGTCCCTGGGGCTCACGGATGAGCCGCATCAGAAGGACCCAGTTGAAGTGAATAAAGCATCTGACTATGATGCCTCCTAGGTGATGTGCTTCAGGGATACCCCACCCTCTTTTTCACAATATGTGAGGACAGAGGAAGATTACATCTCTTTTGACCTCTATCATCTCACTTGGAAACACCCCTGTGCACCCTCAGACAAGCTGAAGGAGGGGCCTGGGGAAGTAAAAACTGCTGCCCTGTAACCTAGTCAAGTGGTATAACATGCATGGAAACTTTTATAGCTATATTTGAACATTAAAAACTTTAAGCATATTTAATCAATTCTGAAAAACATGCTTTGACAATATATATTCATTTTCATTTCATTTTATTTCACACAGGTCAAAGTTTGTTTTTTCCCCTGCAAAGTACAGCTCCAAATGGCTCCATGTAGGTTTAATCTAAGTTGCTGCTTCAATGAGCATCAGAGTCGCCTGAGCATGGATGTTTATACTTTTGTGATTGTGTAAAAACTCGACTAGCGCTATTCCTGTCTCGGTGGTTTGTTTTGGTTTCGGGGGCTTTCCCCGTCTTTTCTCGATTGTGGCAGAAACTATAGTGATGACACAGAGTGTACTTCTGCTTTATGAGATGCAGAAAGCAGGGAGTTGTCATTTCATCTTAACTTGCTGCTAGTCTGCCTTATAAGCAGAAAACTATGTGCAAGAAGAGATTGTGTATGTGCCCTCAGATAATTCTGAATACCATGCCTTGGGACAATAAACCAGTTTAAGTCATGGTACTACTGCATAAACCAAAGCCTAAAATATTTTTTTTAAAGTATAAATTTTCCTTATGAATTGAGATCTGGAATAACATTATACGTGTAAGAAGAAAATGTATAACATTGAACACATTTCAAACTCATCTCAAAGACGCCCAAAGAGGAGCCAGATCTGTGACCATTCAAATCAAATTAACTGAATTTTGCACTGCCAATATTTACTCAATCATTTTACACTCCACTGAAAATAAGCAGCTTGTCTGAAGTTTTGATGGGTGTGCTGGGAAATAGAGTACTTGTACTTCCTGACCTTGCTCCCTGTCACAAAGCTGTTGACTTCAACTATGCAACAACTTGTTTTTCAGCAAGAGCATCATAGATGTGACATTAGTGGTTTTTCTCCAACAACAGGCTCATGTGTAGCATGGTTAGTCAGCACAGTGGCAGCATTTTAATTTATGTGTAGCATTCAAAGCGAAAATGCGGTGCTCAAAGGAGGAAGGAGGGGACGAGTATAGGCTACATTTAAGCATATGAAAATGGGTTTTCATACTGTAACACGTGTGTAATTTGTATGATGTATGAAGTGATTGATGCAAATGAGTGCACTTGTTTGGTGTTTCGGTGACACACATTTATGGTGCCATTTTTAGACATTTTATATCTGTCCACACAGATTTGTTAGAGACATATTTGCAACAACCTTAAGTGCTTTTTTGTTTCCTCCTTATTGCTTTTTCAACCTGAACTTCAGTCAAAGATGACATCTTATAGGTTGGTAGCCGCTGAAGCACATACTGGATTACAGTATGTGATGTTACTGTGATTTTATGCCGCCATCTTGTGGCAAGAAATGAGCATGAAAGTGAAACCTGACTGATTGAAAAGGTATTCATGGTGTGTTCTGTGTTCTAACGGCTACAGTTCCAGCAGATTAGAATCAAGTATAACATTTATACCTTCTCTGAATCACACACACACTCCCATAGTTGACTTTGCTCAGTTTTTTCAGAGGTTGCTTGTTTTGAAACTAAAATAAGCTATATCTTATGGATTTGTGTCTTCTCATATGATGTATGATTTTTTTTAAAAAAAAAATACATTTAGAAAAAGTTTTCATATTACTTGTGCTAAAACCGGAGTACTGGTCACTGCAAAGTAAGAAAGCACTGCATTAACGGTCCTGACAGGAGTTAGAGAGCATAATTGGCTTCCTGTTCCAGAATCAAATTTAAAATCCTTCTCACCCTAATAGAGCACTTTGCTCTCTGACTGCAGGTTTACTTGTTGAACCTAGAGTACTTTAAAGTAGAATAGGAGGCAGAGCCTTCAGCTTACACAGCCCTCTTCTATGGAAGCAGCTCCCAGTTTGGATTCCTGAAACAATCCTAAAAGTAGGTGTCCAAGTTTAAAATGTTCTTTTTTGGTAAAGCATATAGGTAGGGGAGTTTGTTATTAACCTCTGGCTCTCTTCCTGCCATCACTCCCAACTGGTCGTGACAGACCCCTCCCTCAGCCTGGTTCTACTGGAGGTTTCTTTCTGTCATGAGTTTTCCCCATTTCTACTGTCTCTAACGTGCTTGTACATTGTTTGACTCTTGAGGTTTTCTCCGCATTATATTGTAATGTAAAGACCTACAATAATAAAACTTCACCATCCTGTAAAATTGTCCACCCCCCAGGTGTAGATTGACAGTCAAGTTTAAGTACAGAAAATGCACTGAATGCTTCCTCTAAATGAAAATGAATAGGTCCGAAAACACAACATGGTGATTTATGTAGACTTTCACTTCATCTTCTAGTGCTGAAAGAGTTTTGGTACCTAAAGAGAGTTATGGAAAACTCATTTTTCTATTCTACTCTCTGGACTCGGTCACATGCTCTGAAGAGTCACCCCCAGCCCCAGTGGGAGAGGCATGACCAGGGTCTCTGGGTCAGGGAAAACAACCAATCAGAAGTCAGCCGCTCCCCATTTCCTGTCCCAAATGCTAAGCATTCACAGCAGCTGAGGTTGAAGGAATCACACTAGTCCTTTAGTTGAAACTTTAATAGCCTTTTATTTACACAGACTTCCATCATTTGTACAGACAGTTCAAATTAACACCAATGAGGTTCTTATGAAGCTAAAATGGAGAAAGAAAAAAGAAAAAACAAACAAAAAAACAAAACAAAAACACTCCTGTTGAAAGCAAGTAGTAGGTCCATGGCTCAGCTGTTGACTCGTATAAAGAAAAACTTTTATATATCAGCAAACTCAAAGTTTTCAGAACACATTCAGGATTAATATTTATCATATGAATTTGATACAATCTACAGTCTGGATTTAGATGTGAAGTGTCAACTTTCCTCTGCTGTTTGGAGAGTTCCTGAGCCGGAGAGTGCAAACAGTCCCACTCCCGGCCACCAGAGGGCAGATGCCGAGAGTGTAGGATGTTTACACTTCCTGGATCTCAGAGGTCAGAAGGAAATGTCAGGGTGGACAATGTTTAATTTTAATACCATATTAACAGAAATTCCAAATCACAGAAAATAAAATCAGTGTTTATTCTTTATTCTCTCAAAAAAAAAAAAAAAAAAAATCCCTTGTCAAGGCAAATTGATATGGACATCACAATTCAGAAGTGAGGTAGTTCAGAACGCTTTACAGAACGCACTACTTTTCACAGCACCAACTTACACTTCCTGCTTCCTTGTGTTTCAGTCCCATACATACACTTCTAACAGGCAAGAAAACAGAAGTATCCTTGCTGTTCTTCCAACATCACATCCATGCCAAAACATTGAGTACTCATTATGTGAACGGGTTCACATAATCACATTCAGGGTGAAGCACGTTTGGTTAACACAGGGCTAACAAACAACTCACACCTGCAGCCAGTTTACACTCGCCAATTAAGCCAACGTGTCTTGCTAACCACTGCGGCACCCTGCCCCCTTTGTAAAGCACACTAAACTATATCGTTTCATAAGCAAATTATTTTGAACTCTTATTTTAACTCTCAGTTTGACAGTATTAATACTTGCAAACACAGTCCATAGCTTTACCGGTGAGTCTGCAGAGTTACAATTATATCCTCCAGTTTAGCACAGAAGCTTGTGCAGCAACAAACATGCAGCTTCGTCATCTTTAAGTTCGTTGGTGAGACCCTATTTTATGCAGGGGGGGCTTTTGTGAGTGGAATAGGCCCATTTCCTGGGTTTTCCAGCACCAAGGAAGGAACGCTGAGACTGTTTAGACAGAAACGACAAGCAGCACAGCATGTTTTCATTCATGTATGATGAATGTGGGGGTGGGGGCAGTTTGTAATATTAGAAAGCTTCCTTCCTTCCCTGTCTGTGGCCCTCTAGTCTGTGTTACACCCATTTCCCCTCAGCTCTGATGACATGGTTTATCTTAAAAAAATTTAAGAAGGAAAAAAACAAAACAAAAAAAAACCCCACCACACTCTTAGACCCTTAAGTCAAATTTTCTGAACTTTAACCACTCCTACATCTTCTTCCACCCCTCGTCTCATCTTCATCCTCACCTTCTATCCCTGCTTTTCTCCTTTCAACCCCACTCCTTCCTTTCATTCTTCCCCATTCCTCCCCCCAGCCCTCGTCTCAAGAGAGGATGAAGCCGCTCCCATCCACTGGGAATTGAATGGCCTGAGTGGAGACAGCTATCAAAGCCAGCCGTTTCACACTGGTGCACAGTTTTTTGTATTTTTGCTAAGCGTGCTACTTAGTAACCACCTTACAGCTTTACAAAAAGAAAAAAAAAAAAAAAAAAAAAAAAAGCAGTATGAAGTTTTCTGAAATGTTTTTCATTTCTTCACAGCCATACAATACACATTTCTGTGATGGTTTCACCTCTTAGACCGTGTGCGTTGCTCTCTGGCAGAGTGACCTGATCACCTGTCTAGATCACAGTTTACACAGATTCATATACACAATGAGGGAGCTGAAAATACCATTAGTGCCTGAAAATGGATCCAAAACCCCGTTAATCAAAACACTCCTAAACAATGTGGGAACATGACAGTGGGGAAACGGTCCTTTTTCCCCCCAAATCAGCCAATCACTGATAACAGTTTAGCTTTCAGCAAACTCTGTATCATCTGCCATTCATAGCACTAATTAAACAGAGTTTTATGGTTTCAAACATTCCAACATCATTACTCCATTTAAGTTTCTTTTAAAAAAAGTATACTTAGTCATTTGGTTAATGTTATTTAATATTACTCACACCATCCTCACTGGCGTCTTGTCACTGATTTAGAAAAACTTTCATGTCTTCACCTGTGTGCTGCTTTTATGAAGTTGAGGTGGAGCTGTTTGAAACAGAAAGAACTGAATTTGGAACGAACCACCTGTTGTCCTAGCACAGGGGGCACATGGCTTCTCCGTATTGAGTTTTGTCGCAGTCTCTATGCCTTTCCCCCCTTTGCTTTAAATCGTTTTGCGCATTAGCTTATAGGTTCAGGGTCCTCTCATTTGGTTAGGATGCAGTTATGTTCCTGTGTTCCCAAGCAGAAGAGTCAGCTCATCTCTGAGGAGTGGTCCATTTACAGGCCCACTTATTCCCTAGAATAGTTCATTTTACCTCTTGGCTTTCTTAGTTGCCCACAGAACTCATTTTAGCACCATTTTTCAAACTCAGTTTAAACCATAACCTTCCTTTGACAATGTTCTCCTTTATGTCTGATCTTTCCCTTATATTGTTCATGACAGTTCAGTCACTATACTTACAGCTGTTTTCACTCCTGTCGCAGTGATGGTACTAGCAGTTGGCTGCTGCAAACATCCGACTGAAAGCCCCAGAAACTAACACCAGCTTCCAGTCAAGGATGTTTACAGTAGCCCTGACTGCCAACCGGCCCGGAGAGGATGAAGAATCTATGAACACACAAACATTTCCGTTAGCCAATCAACAGTCACTTAAAAATACAAGCTTGAATCAGAGTGATCTGCACTGGAAATAATTCAAAGCACACATCATGTGCCTTTCAACCTTACTAATAAAATGAGAATGATCCTCACAGTTATGCACTCAAGTGTCATCACCTGAAAGTCTCATGATTGTGGAGTGAGTCTTAAAAACAAAGGACTGGACACATTATCAGCGTAAGAGTACACATCTCTACTGGGAAGATTTCTTTTTGTCCTCCTGCCAACTTGGACTGAAAGGCAACAGCGGTGTCTGTGTCACTTCCAGTCTTTCTGACATCTCAAACTTCCACACAGCCTCGCCCTGTTTAGGGTATAATCCATCATCCACACAAGTTCAGGGTGAATGTAAAGTTGTGCTCGAGCTGGGATCAGTGCCGCAAACACATCATCTTACCCACCCAAACCAACAAAAAGTTAAGTAAGATCATTTTTGATTTTGTGCGAAAAAAGCCGGAGCTGGTAAGGTCCCACTCCACTTTTATATGGAGACAAGAGAAAGAGGAGAGGGCAATATCAGAGGATTTGATGATAAGGTGTGAAAATATATGTTACTGTGACTCAATGCCAACTGGCTGTACAACTAAATTCATATATGTCAGATTTTTAGTATGCATATGCGAAGCAGTTTATTTTGGTCAGTTTACCAATGATGTAACTAAGAGGCTGAAGTCATCCATGACAACAGAAGCTGTCAAATTTAGGCTGTAAATGAAAAGTCTGGCTTTACTTTTCATGACACTGTCTAACTCGGATCTAATCTAAGACCACAACTTAGGCTGACCTATCGCTACACACTTTTTTGTAAAACTAGTCTTTGTGAGAGTTAACAGCAACCCCCATGACAGTGACATAGATGCAAGATAAGTTTTCAAAGAAAACACCTGATGATGGACCTCCCCAGCAAAGTTCATACATTACAGCCTTCATTCTATGCTGACTCAAGTGCTGAGCAGCGCAGACCAGCATAATTACTGGTCTCCACTATGTTTTGCTGCCCTGCCTTTGTTGTCCAGTAAGCATTCTATCAGCATGTGACATTCCACAACCTTAACTCCCAACCCACACATACACACACAAACACACTATTTACCATGTAAACACAACCCTGCATTTCTGTTTAGCTACCATACACACTCCCACAGCTCAGCATATGTACACACACACACACACACACACACACACACACACACACACACACACACACACACACACACACATACTCACACACACACACAGAAACACACACACACACACACAAATCTAATTACTTCTTCACACGCAAATAAATGTGCAGGACTCCCATAGTGCCCTCTCTGACCCTCCTCCCCCAACCCAAACGCCTACTTCCTGTTTCTTCCTCTCTCCTCCACTTTTTCTCCATACATACAATAATGGAATGGCATTCGTTGTGTGTGAGTGTGTGTGTGTGTGTGTGGTGTGTGTGTGTGTGTGTGTGAGTGAGAGATAGAGAGACAGAGTTAGAAAGACAGCAGAGTACATGTAAATGAGTGTACATGGCTTTGAGAGCATGAATGTGCCCGTGTGTGTGTGTGCGTGTGCAACTGGTAGAGATTGAGAGTGAAAGAGCAAGAGTGCATGTAATCACATGTGTCCTGCACTGAGATAAAGACAGGAATGCTGCTTCACCATGGTTCCCTCCCTCTGCTCCAATAACAAAGACCTCAAGTGTTAAGTTATTGTAAATCAATCTTTACCATTTACATTTAACCCAGTTTTAGTAAAGTCACTTGGAGTTCTTGACATTTGCTACTACATATAACTAACACCAATCATTGGTCTATTTTAGCGGCTTGTGCATGTTAGAAAGACCAGGCTTCTTTATAGAGCTATAGACTGTATATAAAAGATGGGCAATTATTACTTTTGGACTCTGGATTCGGTGACGAACGCATGGTGTGCTTGTTATCTGCTAACGCTAGCAAGCTCAGTTAGCAAGCTACTTTTGTAAAGTGTACGGGTATGAAGCCCTAACTCAAAGACACAAACATCTTCTAAAAAAATGCTGCAAAATGTTTAGATGTCTGAACACCTGTCAGTCAAAACCACACCCCTAACTGTAAGCCTTTAAAAATCCAAACATGTGACCTGAACCACTGTTTGCTACATTAACAATATTGTTTTATTATTGCAAAGTTGGGCATTTTGAGAACTGTGGGATTGACATTGTTTTTGCACATGACCATTAGAGGAACTGGAGTTTTTGCCACTTCTCAGTTGGCTTAAATCAAATATAACATGCCAGCTGTCATTTTCTATAATGTCATTAATGTTGTTGTGGACAGCTACAGATTTGCATGTACTTCTATACATACCACAATCTGAAGAATGTCTACAGCATCACACTGTACTCAAAAAACACAATAGCAACCTCATGATGTTCAAAAAGAACAGCTGTGTTGTTTATTATGTCAAAAAGAGGACACTTAAATGTTTTGTTAGCTTTTTTTAGCTTGTGGAGATGGATGCATGATGATATTTACATCATACAGACACTGAATGAGACATTACATGCATACTGAGCATGTCTACTTTACTTAACAATGTGGTTAAATGAAATTTCTTAAATTCCTAAACCAAGATTGAAGTTACAGGTTTTGCTGTACATACTGACTTTCCACAAGATAATAACGTATAAGCAGAAATATTTGTGTCAATTCAGTAAGACTGAGCACAAGACCATAGAAAGCTAAACAGTGCTCTTTTTGCCTTGTGAATGTCGTTTTCCTTGCTATGAGAATGCTACAGCAGGGAAGACAACCATCATTGGTGAGCCATCTATGGATAGGGTTATGATTGGTTTAACGTCTTTTTAGACCATTTTTCCTGTCTGGAAAACCCAAAAGGAAAATCTTAACAAAAAGAAAAACTGTAATGACAAAATTATGAATCTCATAGTTTCTAGAAATCGCCTAATTTAGCATGTAGCTAAGGCAAACACTCCCCTTAGCCCTAACCCTGACTGAGTTTTCATTGATTTGTTGGATGTTAAAAGCTTGCTGCTCGGTCACTGCTAACTAGCTGAGTAAAAATAAAACAGGAAATCATTTCCGTTGTGCATGTACATAACAACTTTTTTATTTTCTTATCACACCTTCAAGCTGTAACCTGTTTACTTTTATAGTAATTTAGCCACTAGCACAAAGATTGTTCCTCACATTTTGAGCAGATTCTGTCATTTAAGTCATACCAGTGACACACAAGCTGCCTCCACTGGACCACAAAGAAAATTATAGGGTTAAAAGAAATGAAATATCATGTTAACCCTTAAAGGAGAAATCTGTCTGTTGTAAATGGATGGTTTAACAATGCAAGACAAAGACAGCGTTTCATGAATTCTGCTGACGCAATAGTACATGCTACTGGCCTCGAGCCGTGTCTGCATTTATATATAGTGTGTGTGTGTGTGTGTGTGCGCGCGTGTGTGCGCGCGTGTGTGCGCACCTGCTTTACACTACCGTAAGTTTTGGTTACTATTGCTTTCCGCACTCCAGTGTCCTTTTGGAGAAAAACAAACTGCTCATGTGCAAGCATGCATGTATGTGGACTGTATATGTGTGTATGTGGACTTATGGCTAGTCCTCCCTCTCTCACTCAGGTCACTTTGGGGAACAAAGCAAACTTTATCAGGACATTGCAATCCTGCATTCCCCAGATTCTTAGCACTTGGCAACCAGCTAAAAACAGAGCAGAGAGAGAGAGAGAGAGAGAGAGAGAGAGCGAGAGAGCGAGAGAGCGAGAGAAAGGCAGGCGGAAGACAGAGGAGGAAGGCAGGAGAAATAAAAAGTGTACGCACTACTGATCTTTCCTCACAGCATCTACTGTAGGTTTGAATACAATCTGTACTGTTGCCTAACAGGCTGCCAGATGATCTAAAAACCAAGAGCAGATTTTGAAATGGGAGGAAAACAGCTCCTATTGTTCTATTGTGAATGTTGTTTGAAAAATGTATTTGCAAGAATGTCTTTGTGTAATTGTGTAGTAGTGCATTGTGAGTGCCCTTTACCTATATCCAAGAATAGCAGAATGAATATCATTTCCAACCAAAAACCTTCTATCAGTGGTCTAAAGTTGTAGAGAAAATGGGGAATAGGAAATTCATGTGAAAATGAAGTTTTGTAGACATGATACAGGAAAAGTACTTAGAGCTAACATTTAGAAATATGCCCAAAAAGTTGATTCTGGACGTAGCGTATCCCACGGAAAACACTATGTCCAGCTTTTCAGGATTTCCTTACCTGGATGATTGAGCATCCATCAAGACATTTAGAAATATGGTTGCGATTTTTGTATCAACTTTATGTAGCAATAGTTTGACATTTTGGCGTTCGGTAGAGAACAGCACAAAGAGTAAAATCCAATTCTAAAACCAGGCTGTCAGACGCCTCCTGTCTTATCGTCTAAAGCAGTGCATGACTACGGGCTGCTTTTCAGTTTGGCTTTCGTAAAATCCAGAAGATAAACTCCTGACACAGCTCGCTGCCAAAATGAAGCCGGCATTTGGTTAAACACGAAGAAAAGGCCTTTGAAAAACTAAGCTCTTTTGCAGTTTTATTGTTTGGAAAAGCTGGAAACAAAATGGACACTGCCACACCTTTGAATAGTTTAGTGGTTTCAAAACTAGAATTTACACCGAGGGTTTGGGTATAGAGAAGCGTACAATTTGAATGAGAGAGTATGGCAGTAAATTATTTTATCACTTTATTTTAAAGGGTTAAATGATATTTGGCAGTCGAAACAGTAAGATAAGGATGAAGGTGGAGCAAGGGCTACCAGACTACTCCATATGAAGACAGGTAACAGGAGGTCAGGAACCTGTCCTCAGCCATATTAGCAAAGGAAGTATAATTAAATTATATACAGCAAAATACTTTTGACTAAAAGTACATAACAGGGATGAGCAGAATGAAGAAAAATAGATTCTAGAATTTGCAAGACTTCCAGCACTAAAAACATCAGTGTTCTAAGGCAGAGGCCATCTATCATGGCCTGATCTGTGTACAGTAAATATTCCAAGGTGACGGGCAGTTTAGAGGTGATACATGGATGTTTAAAAATGCTACAGAGGAAACCTTTAAAGCATAGCAAACTCTGTGTCTGCACATTCTTTCATGCACTCGAGAGGCACTTCTCTGACATCACAAATACACCAGCACAATGAGAAAGCCACAGTGAGCCAGGTCAAACACCATTAGAAGGTACAGTAGATCAAGGACACGCACTTCAGATGACCTTAGCAGTGTATTGTGCCAAAGTGAGCGTTTGAAGTCCAGCAGCTTCTCATTTGTTCAGTTGCCAGAGAACGTACACTAGAAGATTTGTTGCTGACTTTTTAGAGGAGATGAAACTTCACTTATTGTATTGATTAAAACTAGGGGTTTGAGGTTTGTTTGGGGTTTTTTTGGTCTTGCTAGTCATCTATTTCTTGTAGCTCTTTTGTCAAATCAGTCAGATCTGTAAATCTGAAATCTGCTACAATACTCTGGACAAACAACAACAATTTTTTTTTTTAGTCGTGCCATAAATTATCTTTTTCTATAAGTAGTCATCTGACATGCAGGAGTAAAATTTTTAGAGCTAAAGTCCCACGCTGAACTCGACAATTTTGTAAATTAGTAAATGTGGTGCATCTGATGCCAGCTGGAACATTAGAAGACAGATACATATCACTGACTGAATAAATCCTGATGTGAAATCTACCGAAGAACTCTAGAGCAAAGACAGTGATAGAAATACAACTTACACAGCAAGCTGATTCAGTTTTCTTTTAAAAAATAAAAAAAATCTGTGTGGACTGCTGGCCCCGTGACCCAAACCCAGATAAGCAGCATAAAATGGATGGGTGGATGGATGAATGAATGGACACTGTCTTGGTGACAATTGAATGTAAAGTTAACTCTGCCCAGATAAGGGACCGGATGACTAAAATGACCACATTAGAACTGCTGTGTGATAACTTATAGTTACACTGGTAATTAGAATAAATAACTAACAATCATGTAAACTGAGGAGCTTTTCTGGGCTCTGAAAGCCTGAGAACCAGATTTCTCATTGCTTTATTGCCTATTCTTAAAGTTAATATCAAGCTTCAGAAGAATTACTTTACTTACAATATTTTGGCTTCTATCAAGCTTCACATGGTGCACATTCCTACCTAAAGTGTGGCTGAAACATTGTTCCCGATACAGGCCAAAAACATGTTGCAGGCCTGTGAATTGCATTGATGGATGAGTTTTAAGGTCAAAATACAAATACTAGTAACTGCTGGTTGCTTACAGTATCATTGCACTTCTGAGTCAAGTTACTAACGTATAAGCATTAAGAAGGTATATGGTGTGACCAATAAGTGCAATAACACTTTAGAGTCCAGATTCTACAGTACACGCCACTATATCCCTTGGCTAACCCGCACACCTCCACCAAGAACACTCCTGACTCCTAATAAAAGTACAATTGGTGACCGAGTACCTGGATTCCTGGATTATCAAGTTGACACCTACACTTGGCTAGTTACTGCTCAGCTAAGTGGATTTTACATTTACAGGCTTCACTCCATGGCTCAAGCGTCAAGCTTTTCACAGTTAAGCCAAAAGGTTTCTGAAAACACATCACACAAATACACCGTCTCCCAAACGACTAGCATTGAAGTAAAACAAGTGCTCTCAGAATCAGACTACAATGCACCTTCATTAACAGGCTCGCCCCTGGCCACGACCTTCACAGCAGCACTGAGTGTAGCTGGAGTTTTTCTACAAGTTTCCATTCTTTATCTGATAGCACAAATCCGGCCCTTTTTTAAGGCCCTCCCTTCCTTTGCCATTCAGATCTGTCTCTTTAGTTCTCTCTCTCTCTGATGACCTGGCCTCGTGTAGGAGTCTCTGTCAGCAGTTTAACGGACCGGTGGATATTCCGATCAGGGTTGTGAATACTAACAGAGCTGGTGGCCCGTGAAACCAGAACCTCTGATTATTAACATCGCTGACTCCTAGAGGACCAAAATGAGGAGTTAATGTTTCTCAACACCCTTGGCTGCAAAGCAAAAGAGACTCTCAGGAACCTTTAGTTGGAAAAGTTGGTAATAATATGCCCTGGTGTTTCACACACTTTTTGGTCTACATTGCTAAAATACACCAACACCAACATGCTAGCAGTTGTAAATATAAATACTTACTGTTACAGTTTTAAATGATCCAGCAGTTTTGGAAATACTTATTCGTTTATTCCCAAAAGTGAGAGAAGATTATTTACTTGTACTTCTCAGGTCTGTGCATTAATTACTGAACTGAAATTAAGCTGAGCTCAGCTTTGCAAGCTACTAATAAACCATTTCTTTAACCAGCCCTCTTCAGTGACTCCAAAATGCCAGCAGAAAGTATTCTTTTCTCTATCTAGTGCTGTTTACGGCTGACTTTCTCCCCTATAAATTGTAACCTAATAAAAACCAGACATATGATATTAATCTTCTTCTTTACTATGATGACCATAGTTACATGTGTATCTGTATGAACCCATCTTCTCTGCAATAGGTGGGATAATCTGAATGAAACTTTGTACAAACATCATCAGACTTGCAGCGATAATTAACATCTAAATGCTTAAAAAAAAAAAAAGATTTAATATAAATCCCAATTTCTTTTGATCTTTATATATATTATGTCCCTTTGTGAATGTAGTGTTACACTCTCCGTTTGCATTTCTATCATGCGCCGCATTTAACGTAAGGTTCCCATACGGAACTTAACAGTCACCACAATGGAATTTTGTTCAATTCACCACTAAATACGGAATGAAGACTTTGGAAAAGCACTAAGCTAAATATTTAGAGCAAGTTGATTATTTAGTTAGTTAGTGCTAAAAAACCTTGGCTACACCATGTTACAAAATGAAGGTCCATCTATAGTATTCAAACCGCATGTTTATTGGCCAAAAAGTGTGCAACCACAAGTTATTAACCAATAAGCGTGTGGTTTCCCAGTCAGGCACACCCCTCCTTGTCACATCCGGTTGTCTACGACCAAGAAAGCAATGGCAGAAAAGGTCAATTCAAGGCTTTAAAACAGGACTTTAGAAATCCCTGGATGATATAACGGTAGCTATGTTCATACAGGTATTCTTGGACTCAACTACAGTAGCTAAGCATGAAACAGCTGGGAAAAAAAATCTTAAGTTGACCCTTAATATACAACTTCAGTTTATCCCCAATAGTTTTAGCTACTTCCCTCTTAGCCTGCTTTCTTCTAATAGGCCAGCTTATAGACTAATAACTGTTTTTGGTACTGAAAGCAGTCTGATGCTAAATTTATGGGATTACCTAATTATCTGATTTGATTTAATTTGGACATCTTAATTTTCACTTTTACAGAGACTCTGCAGGATCATGCAGACTTTAAAGCTAAGACTTGTCTTCAAATGTTAGCATGCAGTGCATTCAGCTTGTTTCAGCTCAGGTCCATATTAGTTCTGCACCATTACTTTCCATTTCTTAGAATAATCCCATTAAAACAGAATTAGGTTTTCCTTCCTCCCTCGTTTCCAGTCCAGTCCAGTCCTCACTTCGAGTTTGGGTCCCCTGCTCTGTAATGTATTGCGGGATGGGCCGAGAATTCAGGAAGTGGCTCCTGCGGTCTCCATAGTAACCCTGAGGTCAGCCCCGCAAGGCCGGAGACCCCTCCTCAAACACAAAGAGCTGAGAGGCCTAGATAAACACAAACAACCCAGATTGCACACACTTAACAAACACTTGCACACACAAACCCAGGCGAGCACACAAGGACGTGGAGTGCATTCAGCTAACTAAAGCACTTCCTGTGTAATCTATAGCAGGAACACAGCATACAGCATGGAAACTACTGTAAAGCACTGGTAAAGATAAAGCAGGCTATTTAGCTTACTGGTTAACAAACTGATCCCTTGACCATCCCAGTGCTCCTAGTAGATTATTGGCTCTGCTGTTACATGGTACTGGCATTTTAAGAAAAGGGACACCATGACACCAACATTTTTCTTACATTTATCAAATATTTATGTGAGCTTTTTACGTGAATACACCAAACTGCTTTCTTCTGTAAAACTTTTTGCACAAAAAGGAATGGTGGTATATAAGCAGACATCTAAACCAGACTATCGTATCCAAGTAGCGACAGTGACAACAGAAAAATGAGACGTCTTTTTGTGCTCATTCCTGTGCTGTAGGAATAATACTTACTTCTTCCTCACTGTGCCTCTGTCTTCCTCACACTCATGTCTGGGAACCAAACTGACCTCCATCCCAAGGGAGGAAAGAGCCGGGTGAATGGGCCGGCCCCAGAGCTTCGCTTTCATACAGCGCGCAACCCGATACAGATTACACATTACTTTTTAAGAGTCAAACCAGAGACAGTGCAACTGAACTGTGACCTCTTGGTTGGTGATCATTAGAGCGAAAAAAACAAAAACAAAAACATAACAACTTATAATACATCATCCCATAAGGGCCCTGTAACCTTTGCTGCATGGAGTTTACAGTGCTTTGTCCTCCTCTGCATCTCTTTGTTCTATTAATGTGTGACCTGATTACACTGCTTCATAGTATTTCTGGAGTAGCCTACTTGAACTTTAAAAGGTTCAGAACTAAGAGATATTTATAGACCACTATAGCCCATGGAAGTTGTGATTCCAGTTAGTAAAAATGAAGACCCTGTTTTCTTCTTTGAATATAACCACTCTGTGTAATCTGATTATTCTTATTTCTAAGTAGCAGCAGGCACAATTTAATCCAACAGAAATGGCAATGCATCCTGTCATAAACAGATTCAGTTAGGGAGATGACATGCAGATCTAGACAGGCGGTTTTCTTAATAGTATTCATCTTGAGAAATAAATCTGTTTACTCCCTGGGATTTATTCCAAAGAACAGCAGCATTACTAAAAGCACAACTTTAACAACTGTGTAATGACTGATGGGCAAGTGATGCTTCAACAAACCTCACACGAAAACCCGACCCCCTACAAACTTTAGTGTCAGTCTATAAGGACATACAGGGTACACAATGAGAACAAGGCCAGATTATAACAGAAATTATTGCATATTCGGCCTGCAGATATCTAGCAACTTCTCCGGTGAAATCTTTTTCTGCTTCTCATGTCGCTTGACTCCGCTCATTGGCTCATTATGCGGATGTAAGGTGTGAGAAAACAGAGGAACCGATTCTCAAAGTTATTTTTGTTCGCAACTAGCTGCGCTTTTGATGTTACAGCTGAGCCGACCTAAAGAACTGGCTGTTATAATGACGTGAAAAGCTAAATGACTACTCTCCGGTGTATGGAAACGTGCTGAGAGTTCCGGTATCTCAAAGGTCGTTGTTTTTTTGAAGGCGGTTTGGCACCATAAGAAGTTAGAGGACGGAATGAGTGCAGAGGTAAGTTAAACTCACCGTGTTAACGTCCTCCGCGGACAGCTGCGGCAGGCAGAGGGCCAGCTCTGCTGCTCTTTGTATTTCGGGATAACACCGACAGCGACTAGCATTCTTTTAAAACAGTTAAGAGGTCGAGTGAGGGTCAGAAAATACACGAAGTCTTCCATGAGTGCCGCTCACTTGTCCCGGGAGTCTATGGTGGAGCAGGGATAAAGTTCTTCTTAAAATTATTCCGCCGAACCTGCTCTCCTCTCAGCCTGCCCTCTGTCAACTCTAGGTTTTTGTAGGAAGAACGTTGGACGGAGCCCCGCCCCTTTATGCTGACCGCTGTCAAGTTTGCTTCAAAAACGATGCGTTTTTCGGTCATATTTTTCCGCTTAAAAATGCCGCGTTTTTTAAGCAAAAGTTTGCTAACATCATTCCTATAACTACTTAAACATTGTTAAGAAAACAGAATATTTACCAAGTATTTATTTGAATAGAATTTGATGCATTTAACAGTAAAATTAATGCTTTTGTTTTGAAAGTATTTACATTATTTCCGGTATAACCTTGTTAACTACGTTCAATTTGTTGTTTTTCAAGACTGGCCAAAAGCAGGCAGGCCGTAGGACAGCCACACACACACACACACACACACGCACGCACGCACACACATTGTTTGTCCTGATCTTCTAATAAAACTTTTATTTATCACGTTTTTAATGAGGCCGTTTTAAAGAATTGACTGAATACGTGAACACAACTACAGGTTAATCAGGTGATCACTGAGGAAAGATCTAACCTTGCAGAGCCCGCATCGACCTCCGGCTGCAGACTGTTGGCAGGTCAGCTGTACGCTGATTTTCTTTCCTTCCGCACGACTCAGCTCAAAATGTTTCAATAGTGCGTCTCCTTTTATGTGCAGATGTTCTCCAACTTGTACTGCTGGTTATGTAAAGGCGTTTGCAGTAGATGTTTTTTGTAATCAGTAAGTCATAACTAAAGAAATGCAAGGCAGACTCGTTTTCAAAAGCAGACAACAATACTTTAGAATATTTGACCTGAGGTCTGATCACCACATATAATTCTGAAGTGAAGGATTATGTATCCTGAGAACATGTATAGAAAATATAACAGCCTAACTATAGCTGTACCTAAACACAAACTCACATCATTTTACGCAATGTCTGATATGGACTTCCCTTGTTAGCTTACTATTACTGTTGTTGTAGCAAATAGGCTACCAGGACTTAATACTTTAATTAAGCAAATATTGTAAGAAAAACGTGTGCACTTAACCTTTTAAATTTGAATACATAATTGTATGTATCCGACTTTGAAGAATTTATCTCCTCTTTATCTTGTATAGATAAAAATGCATAGATGCATGTAAATGTATTTAATTTGTATTTAAATGCAATTCATCCAATGCTTATATTTTACGTCAACCTTCTGTGGCCTAATATGCTGACCGAGAACTCTAACCATAACCATAACTAATCCTAGGCAACCAGGATATGTTTTTAGAATTTTATTTTGATTTAATTATCATTCCCAGATTTGCAATCAGGAAACAAAGAAAATCACCATTCTGTGTGATTCAACTGAAAAAAAAAATCAATTAAGTCTGTTTTGCTTTTCTTTAAAATATATGATTGGCGTAGGATTACTTGTCACCAGTGTTGGTCAAGTTACTTGAAAAAAGTAATCAGTAACTAATTACTGATTACTTCCCCAAAAAAGTAATCCCGTTACTTTACAGTAATCCTTGTACTGTATTTAGATAGGCATCAACCAGTCTTCACTGGCGCAATCCACCTTTATTCTGCCTGAGATTATTCTGCCTCTATAACGATTTAACAAAAGGCGACAGTGGCATTCGATTTCTATCAGCATTTCTGCCCATAGGCTGTCTGTAAAAGATTGGTTTACCATTCATGTAAAGTACCTACTTATTTTAAGTATTTGTGTAAATGTAACTAGTGATCTTTTTTCTCCCTAAACCGTCATCATACAGCTACTTTTTATGAGATTAGCCCACCCAGCCAGTGCTGGTTACGTAACAACGATTTAAGCTGTGAAGGCGATAGCAGGAGGAGTACCTGGATTCCAACAGGTTTCACTGAATACCACATGGTGTTTTTCATGAAGTAGTTCTGAATAAACTAACTATTAAAAGCAAATAAAGGCCGTTTTGGCCTTGCCATGGCCCACTTTGAGAGTTCAGGGCTGGACAGCCTTTGTCCAAGTGCTGTGTGCTGTCTGGGCAACCCCAGGCAACCCCAGGCAAGCCCAGATCCTAACCCTGAACTGGCCCCTTGAAGGAGAGAGAGCCGACCCAAATATGCTCACCTCGAAAGATTAACCTCTGAATGTACTACACATCCAGTCAAGTCCCTTTTATATGTGCAGCACTTTGATTTTTAAAACAGGAGCTGACCCATAGTGAGGGAAATCTCCAGATGAGGGAATTTTATAAATACAAAAACAATAAAAAGGAAAACTTAGACTTTGTAGATTTCATTTAACCTCACACTGGTGAAATTCCCTTAGAACAGCAGCAGTTTTAACCTGAAATAACAGTATACATTTTAGCTGTTTGCTTTTTCCACTGCCCTCACTGCTACATTGTTTTGGCTACAAGCTAGTGCACAAACCTACTAGTAGGACCTGCTGAAAGCGGGTTACACAGCTAAGGGTAGAAGGGCAAGTGTTTATACTCAAAGCACATGAGGATGTGGGTGATAGGTAAGAAAACTGACACTCACAGCAGCGTTTGGATGTGTGACCAACAGACGATATCAGCTGAAAGTTTACAGCAGGTCACTGTATTATAAAAACATAATTTCATAATTATGCAAACATTGATTGAGAACTGTATTTAAATGCAAGTTCAAGTTGATCTGTTTTAGCGATGCTAATGATCTAACGGTCTCAGTCGGGCTATCCAGTGGTCAAGACTGAAAAGCACAAAGCAGACTCAAAAAGTCCTGCAGCTCTGTCCATAAAACCACTGTCCCCTTCAAGGTGATGTCATCTGACCTCTGGCCAGTGTGCATTTTCTCAAATTTGCTCTCAGAACAGACAACTTTTGTGTCAGAGGACCCAACTATCATGTCAGCTTGGAGACCAAACAACAGTGTTCAGTCAAAAAACCTTATGTGCCCAAGATCAAATGAGGAACTTTATATCCAGAGTATGCTCTACTTGTGTCAGCACGGGCTCATGCACTATAACTTAACACATGTCAAACTCAAGGTACTCCATGTAGTAACAAAAAGACCCTAAAATAATACAGAGAAAACTCTGGGGAGAGAGAAAGAACAAAAGGGTAAACTGTGGCTAATAACAACTAATGATAAATGCAGGTGAGTGAAGATGAAATGCTCAGTGCATCATGGGAAGTCCTAAGCCTAATCTTTAAAGTGGAGCTCCCAAATCCAAACTAGGAGCTGGTTCCACAGAAGAGGGGCCTGAAAGCTGAACACCCTGCTTCTACTAAACCAGCAGTCTCTGAGGGAGGCGTGATATGGTACTAGGAGGTCTTTATGAAAAGATGGGGCCTGATTATTCAAGAGCTTGTATGTGAGGATTTTAAATATGATTCTCTCTTAGTTGTTCAGGCATTTTGAGACATTAAAGGAACTGGAGGGACTTGATTGTCTAACTCCCAAATAAAAACTTTTCATGCTACATGAAAACATTTCATGTAGCATTTTTGCAAGACTGAGCCTTAATTAGCAACTGCCAGCATGCTAATGTTCCAGGTGATAGCTAAACTATAGCTACAAAAGAAGAGGTTTTTCTCTGTATAGTTTTTCTTTTGTGAGTAGGAACCAAATTTATATGAGGTAAAAAAAGAGAATGGCAAATTTGTTAACTTTAACACCACCAGTACTATTTAATGTTGTAAAAGCTACTGTTCTCTACATTGGTTTGGTTATGTGTGGTAAGAGTCCTTTTATCCGGTTTATTGTTACCATTTCCCTATTGACCATCAGGATAATCCATAAAACACTTTGCACAGTTATGGCCACTAGGTTTTCACGTAAAATGTCCATCCTTGTGTTACTCCAACCAGCTGTCTATCATATGAACATAATATCACAAAGCTTCACTCGACTTAAAACTGAACTGATTAGAATTTGACGGTCGAAGATGAAAGGTCAGACTCAAAGTGACCTCTTAAGCACTTCTTTAGATTTATAAAATGGCCATAAATATGAAAAAGTAGGAAAATGTATTACTTTTGGTTCTGTTAATATTAACTGAGTCGGATCCCTCTATCGGTTTAATATATACAGCCAAAGCTGGAGAACAGACATCAGTGCACTCCAACACGTCTCATGGGCAAATAAGGTAGGAAACACGCAACCGACAGGGGTAAAGGCATTTACTGCCTTTACTGGAAAAAGCCTCTGCATTAGTAATCACAATCTGAGCAGCAGCGACAGAATGGAAAGACTCATTAGTGTCAATTCTTCTAGACAGTAGATCATTATCTTTCAACTGGAGAGTCAGTTCAATCTCAAAAGAGGTGCTGATCTAAACGCAGAACACACAATTTTCATCAAGGAAACCACGTCAGGGGTGGTCCTGTTTACTAAGCAAATGTAAGTTTCATATACATGAAAATACAAACATAGCAGCAGAGAGACAAGCACAGGGGTAATAATCGGGTTTCACTGATCTCTTAGAAGCAGCCAGAGAGCAGCGATGATGTGATGTGTAGAGTGTTCCCTGGGATTGACACACAGGTGATCACTGATCATCTGAAAGGTGTAGAAACAAGATGCTCTGCAGCCATTTGGGTATCTTTAAATATCTTTAACAGCACTCTCCCCAACTTTCCCATGGCTGCTCTTTCCCTGGTTATATCTGAGAAATAGATACCTTTCCTAAAGACAGCTAAACAGTCTCCACAGCAGCAGTAACCAAACTTGTTAGCAGGTCATCAGCTGATGACCTGTTGAGGATGTACCCATCACCCAAACTTGGATAAACAGTTCAGGACTTTACCTGTGGATTCTTCAAAAACACATTCTCTTTTTCCATTAAACAGTAGCGCATATTGATTTTCATAGCTTCTTTTTCAGCTGGATACACCACATGTAAACATGTGAAAGAAATGTATAAAAAAATAATGCAATACAACAGAACAATTCATACATACACAGAAACAAGCCCCCTGTGACTGAGAATAGTGATTGTGCGCTCCAGGATGTAGTGATGTTGTTGATACTGTTTGCCATATGGGAGAAAGGAGGCCATACAGTGAACTGTATATGATATACACTGGGCAGGTCTGTTTTTGTTTTTTGTTTTTGTTTTTTTATTAAACAATAAGAAACATAAATTATTCTTGTAATAAAATTAATCAGAAA